CTACGGCGGCCACGGCACCCCCTACCGGCCGATCGTTCTTCGAGAAGCGCCCAGAAGCCTCGGATCCTTCGGCAGTTTCGGCAGATCGGGTCACGCAGGCTTCGGCCACGCAGGGTATTGAGGTCTACGGTATCCACGCGCTCACACGACGGAACCCGGATGAGAGCTTGTGCGGATGCTATGGATATGGATTCGTTACGGCGGATACTTGACAGAAAACGTTCGCTCGTCTCTGAGAATTGGACTGATCGATAAGATTAGTGTATTTATTATAAATCGCATCACTACATTTGCCGTGTTTATTTTCCTAAAAGAATATGAATGAACGATTAACAGTAGTTGCAGTAAAAATGATAAATGGTTATAAGAATAGCCACGGTAACAATAAACATTAATAATAGTCAATAACAAACATCACAAAGAAACAAAAATACGAAAACAGTAAGAAAAAATCTTCAGTACTACAAAACAAAAACAAAAAACAAGTAAACAAACGCCCCAACTGTAAGGAATTAACGACTTAACAATCAATTGACTTTTTTTCATCGACAGCACAGCAATAACCCACCTATCACGAGTTCTGGAACAAAAGTTGGAACAAACTCGTGAGTAACACCCATAGATTATGCTGCAGTTCATAGCCTTGGGGTGGGGGGGGGGGGTCTCAGCTGGTGTTCTCATGAGAGGGAAACGAGCCAAGGGGGGGTTGTTCTCGAGTTTGTTCCTGTGTAAAAAGGGCCGTAAAGATGCTTAATGGGGCTTTTTTACGATTTCCGCAAATGTGTGTGGTATTTTTAAGTCTTTTTTCGTTTTTTCTCGCCTTTTTTATTCTTTTCTTGTTTTTTATGTATTATATATAAAGATATAAATAGTCTGAATGTATGTGTGTGTTGTGTGCATGTGTGTGTGTGTGTGTGTTTATGAAAATATTTGTGTATGAAAGTCTGGTCGTAAGCGTTAAAAAAACAACTAAATAATCATAGACGATCAAGGAAGTAATCAAATATTATTCATTTTGGAGTTTTTTATGCCCATACACACAAGAGACGAGGAGATGACACCATTACTCACCGAGACGTGCTCCTTCAATGGCTTCCTCCACCACTATGATTTCCTCAGCCTCGTTCTTGTCTCATTCCTCATTACAAAAAAATTCTTTACTATAGATAATGAAAAAAAAAATTACCACAAATAATGAAAAACCGGTAGAAAGTATTCAAGGGTCCTTTCATTTTCATTCGGCCCGAAATTATTTCACTTCCCATCCATTTTACAGCGTATGCCACGATATCCACAGTAATTATTATTTATTTTTATTTTATTAATTTTTTATTTATTTTTTTTTTTTTTTTTTATTTTTTTTTTTTTACAGATACAATCAATAGGTTTTCACTCTCCTGCGTTTCATCCCTTTTTCTTGTTATTTCCTCAGAGTGGACGCCATCTCATATGCGTGTGAGTATGTGTGAGTGCTGTGTGTGTGTGTTTGTGTGTGTGTGTGTGTGTGTGTGTGGTGTGTGTGTGTGTGTGTGTGTGGTTGTGGTGTGTGTGTCTAGGTATGTGGGTATGAGTGTGTGTGCGGGTGAGTGTGTTTATGTGTAGGTGTGTGCGTGTGTGTAAGAAGGGTCGCCATATCAAAAAGTTTGAAACAATGAATTGGAGACTCCACGGCGGCCATCTAGCTCAGCATGGACACGATGGATATGCAAGCGGCAAAGGCGGCGGTGGATGTGGCCGAGGTGGATGCAGGAAGGCCATGGCTGAAGGAAATCCAATTCTGGCTTTCTGTTGGGAGCTATCGACTGTGAACTATTCGATATATGCACGTAGGCGCCTAGGGAAATCATCAATTCTCTTCCCATTATTATAACACACATATAAATAAGTGTTGTGTGTGTGTGTATATGTTATACATACATACTACATATATATATACACTACATACATACATATATGTTTATACATACATACATACAGATATATATTATATAATATATATATATATATATATATATATATATATATATATTTACATATATCTATATGTGTGTGTGTGTGTTTCTTGTATGTATCTATGTGTGTATGTATGCAAACACACACAAATATATTATATATATATATATATTATATATATATATATATATTATATATATATATATATTATATATTATATATAGGGTGAGGGAGGTGTTGTCCGAGCAACTCGACGGGCATGAACTGACTTCCTCTCTGCAGCACCAGATTTATTTAAGCAGACGCTCCTCAAGGGACAGCCCAGGGAACATTCAGGCCGAAGGACAGTTCAGATTCAACAAAAATGCTCCTGTAACCAAGTCCTATTGGCACAGAGATCATAGTAACATGAAAAATACAACAAATATACATGGTTATATTGGGTATTGATACTTTATAGAACAAACTGGAGTTACTTTACATGGTTAAAGAAAAATCAGATTAATCCTATTTTTCAATAACATACCTGCCAGATTTACACACTGTT